AAATAAACTAGATGCAGTGACAGCAAGGATGGAAGAAGCAGAGAAGAGAATAGGTGAAACAGAAGATAAAATTTTGGAAAATGATGAAGCTGAAAACAGAGGGACAGGAAATTACTAGACCATGAGGGGAGAATTAGAGACCTTAGTGATTCAACGTTTATTTATTTTTGGGACAGAGAGAGACAGAGCATGAACGGGGGAGGGGCAGAGAGAGAGGGAGACACAGAATCGGAAATAGGCTCCAGGCTCTGAGCCATCAGCCCAGAGCCCGACACGGGGCTCGAACTCACGGACCACGAGATCATGACCTGGCTGAAGTCGGATGCTTAACCGACTACGCCACCCAGGCGCCCCGAGACCTTAGTGATTCAATGAAACAAAATAATATACATTTCATAGGAGTTCCAGAAGAAGAAGAGAGAGAAAGGGGCAGAAGGTTTATTTGAACAAATTATATATGAGGACTTGCCTAATCTGGGGAAGGAAACAGACATCCAAGTCCAGGAGGCACACAAAGAACCCCCTTCAAAATCAACAACAGGTCAACACCATAATAACATATCATAGTGAAACTGGCAAAATACATAGATAAAGAGAGAATTCTGAAAGCATCTAGGGACTAAAGGTCCTTAACCTCTAAGGGTAGACACATAAGTTTAGTAGCAGACCTGTCCATTGAAACTTGGCAGGCCAGAAGAGAGTGGCAGGAAATATTCAATGTGCTGAATAGGAAAAGTGTGCAGCCAAGAATCCTTTATCCAGCAAGGCTGTCATTCAGAATAGAAGGAGAGATAAAGATCTTCCCAAACAAAACTGAAGGACCTCATGACCACTAAACCAGCCCTGCAGGAGATCCTAAGGGGGACTCTGTGAGTGGAAAGCAGCAAAGACTACAAAGGACCCAAGACATCACTGCAAGCACAAAACGTACATATAACACAATAATTCTAAATGAGGAAGTCAGAATGCTCTTTTCAAATATTAAATATTACAATGAAGGAGTATTACTGTATGTCTAAACATGTCCATAATTAACCTATAAATTTGCTTCATAAATTTTCTATTATACTTATCAATATTGCAAGAGAAAATTAGTTTTTTAAATGTTTATTTATTTTTGATAGAGAAGGCAGGAACAGGGGAGATGCAGAGAGAAAGAGGGACAGAGGATCCAAAGTGGGCTCTGCACTGAAAGCAAAGAGCCAGATGCAGGGCTTGAACTTATGAACTCTGAAACCATGACCTGAGCCAAAGTTAGCCACTCAACCGACTGAGCCACCCAGGCACCCTGAGAAAATGAGTTTTAAATAAATTTGAGCCCAAAGGCAAAAAGAATGACAAGCAACTACCACAAAGAGTATTGACTATGTTTTTATATTATGCTTTTTCTAAGAAATTCTAGAGTGGATTTTGTTTTGCAAATGAACTATTGTAGAGATGATCTTTCTCCCATTCATTTGCCACTTAAAGTGACACTTGATTATGTTACTGAATGACAGTATACTTGAAAGTGCTTACATTAATGGCAGTTTTTATTCCTATTTTAATTAAGTATAGCTCAACATTTAAAGCACTTGAGAGTCAACAGTGTATGGAGGGTTATATAAACTATATCCTGCGAGCTAAATCCAGCCCAGTGTCCATGAGTTAATGAATTTTCTTTTTTAAATAGTTTAAAAAAATCAAAGCAAGAATATTTTGTGACATGTGAAAATTATGTGAACTTCAGATTTCAGTTTCCATAAACTAAGTTTTACTGGAATATAGGCACACTCATTCATTGTCAGTGTACTATCGATATCTACATTCATCTGATGGCTGAGTTAAGCAGTCGCAACAGAGAACATATAGCCTGAAAAGCTTAAAATATTTACTACCCGACCCTTAAGTGAAAAAGTTTGCCAACCTCTGATCTGTAAGGAGATGGAAACTGATACTGACACTAATATTGGAATATTGGACACTAATATTGGAAGTTATTCCACACTGAAAATACAACATACCATATTTTCTAAACTGCCTTTCAACCAGTGAACAGTATAAAAAGTGCCAAAAAGTACTCTACCTGCCATTTTCCTTGGGGGACCTGAAAATAAAAATTCAAAGTGTTAAGTAGAGTTTGAGACAGTTATAATTGTCACATCATTCATCAAAGTGCAAGTTCTTAATATATTTCCTCTAAAATATTTCCTTAAATCAAAATGCTTATATAGTATCAGATGCTGACAAATGTCTGTAGATTGAAGGAAGTGAACAAAGGCAGAGAGAAGATTCTATTTTAAAAATAATAATATTTACTGTCTTTAAACTTACTTTTTAAACCACTCATAAGGTTTTCTCTTTCTAAATAAGCATTTTTTTTTTTTAGTAGATCAGCAGAGGACCCCAGTTGTTGGCATTAACACAATTAGGAAACTTTTTTTTTGGTAGATAATGAGTTTTGTAGTTTAAAATCAATGAAAAGAAAATAAGGTGTTATACAGAAAAGGGCTTAAGGGATTGGGAAAGGTCAGGACTGACTAAACTACAGGATATTGCATAGCCTTTAAAATTCATTAATTTTATATAACAGACACTTAACAGAACTTCCCATGTGGCAGAAAACTGTGCTAAGTGTTTTACAAAAATTAATTCATTTAATCCTTAAGATTATTAAGAGCCATTAGAATCCCCATTTTACAGGTAAAGAAACTGAGGAACAAAGAAGCTACATAATTTACCCAAAGTATTTCTAAAGTTTTTTTAATAAAGCAGAATTAATAGTAAATTTTTTTATACAAATAAGACATTAAAACTTGGTAATTTATCTAAAATCATCAATTTTTGGCCAGGAGTGCCAAAAGCAGGATTTGAACCCAGGGAATTTGGCTGCAAGATCATGTTGCCTTTTAGGTCACATGAGAGGGGTCTTCAAAGGCCTCACATCTTTAGGTTCTCACAGAGGCTTTGGTCACAACTGGAGGAAGTATTCTGTGAAAAGTGAGAAGGCTAAACTGGGGAGACTGGTCATGGTCCTCTCCCTTGCACAGACAACTACCTGAGTATCTTTGGGTAAATTACTGAAATTTCCTGTGCTCTGGAGTGCTTATTAGAAACAATGAAGAGTAATAATAACTATCTCATAGCATGGCTATTGGGAATAAATGAGTTAATATAGATATGAAGCCTGGCACACTGTAAATGCCACATACATGCTTGCTGTTATTGCTAGTAAACACAGAAGTCGTGACAAGAGAGGGTGCCAAGTTTAAGATGTTGGCACTATTAATTATGCTGTGAGGTTACACAGTACCCCTACTCATGATCCCCTACATCCAAGAGCTGGGCCACAACTATCCTCCAAATGCCCCAAACCCTAAGAATACGGAGTCTAGCATGGGGGATAAGAGAAAGAGCTAAAAAAGGTATTACATTGAAATAAAGAGTGCTACTGAACATGTACATTTTTAGAGTCTGCTTACCTAAAGTCAAGTACACGGATGTCCTTATAGCCTGGTAACCCAGTAAATGCATTTTCAACCTGTTAAAAATAAAAATAAAATTTATAGCTATGTAGAAATGTGAAAAGGTACATATAAAATACTGCTTTAAGAGCTGACTATAAAGTGCACTGTTTATAACTGGTGGAAGCTTGTACATGTATACAGATACACAGTGGACAGAATGTTATGTAAGAAAACTATACTAATTAACCTTGTTAGAAAATAGTTTTTAAAATTTTCTTTTTTTGAACGTTTATTTATTTTTGGGACAGAGAGAGACAGAGCATGAACGGGGGAGGGGCAGAGAGAGGGAGACGCAGAATCGGAAACAGGCTCCAGGCTCTGAGCCATCAGCCCAGAGCCTGACGCGGGGCTCGAACTCACGGACCGCGAGATCGTGACCTGGCTGAAGTCGGACGCTTAACTGACTGCGCCACCCAGGCGCCCCTGTTAGAAAATAGTTTTTAACACAACACTGCCACATTTTTCTTTCACATTAAGGTTTTGATATGCTTTAATATTAATTTCTTTCCAAACTGTGAAAAGCAACTTCTTATTGGCAAAACACTGCTTTTTCCCTTGTGGGATGAAATGCAGATAACAGCATTAGTTTCCCCCCCAAAAAAGCTACAATAGCATTTTTAAAGGTAATTGTTTGGATTAGAAATCTGGTGCAGCATACACACTCATAAACAGTGAAGTATTCGTTTTCTTTCAGTGTAAAGTTTCTGAAGGCATCTGTTTCCTGTTCCTACAACACGAGGGAACTGTGAACACAATCAAAATTAGAAAATAGTCTACAAGCTGAAGCTCAGTCCCCAGAAGAGAGGCCCTATTGATTGGGTGTCATGATGTAGGTTACAAAGCAGTGACCAGGTAACTTAATTGGTCAAAAGCTCAACTTATGAGCATCACATTGACAGGAAGCAAGTAGATATTTAAGATCCAGCCATGTAAAGCAATATAAGCTTAGTGAATAGAGGGTTGGAAAGAATGCTAACTGAACTAAAAATCTAAAAATAGTCAGGTCATGCATAAATATGTATTTTAACAACATTGAGCATTTAACCCAGATTTCAGAAGGTGACACTCTCACCAGAAAAGTCACAATGCAACCAACACCAGAACAAAGGAAGGAAGTCATTAATGGATTCTGGAGACATCTCTCTCTGGGCATTTGGTTTTAAAGCCAAGTCTTGATAAAATTGGGAGAATGGGATTTTTTTAAAAATCATGGTTCACCGAAGACCTTAACACCTTAAGGATAAAGAATCCAAACCCATGTAACTCTTTGGCTATCATAATTTGCCTTGTTTTATTCTCTTAGAGGAAAGACAGAAGTGCCATAATTCTTGTGGGATAAAAGTAGAGATGGAATCCGCAGGATAGGAATTCGGAAATGAGTCAGTCTCAACTGTTTCTGCTGGCAAAGTAAGTGCCTTATTTTATAGAACTAATCCTGCCCTGCCCACCAACCATATCAGTTTTCATAAGATTAAAACGAATGCACCTGAAAGTACTCCATTAACTGAAAAATGCAATACAACTGTATGTTATTATTATCACTAGGCCCATCTCATTTGGGGCTTTGCCATCTCTTGAGTCTAACCACATACAGGTATTCTAATTCATCACATCTGGTTAGCTACCATACAGGTGTCCAGTTGAATCAGTGCACTTTATTAACATCAAGATTAATAATGGGTACAGCCTACTGAATGACTTCTATGTGCCTGGTGCTTTGCAAAAGCACTTCTTGCAATAATGCCAAGAGATACCTATTTTCCCAGTTTTATAGATGAGAAAATGGAGATATCAACTAACTTACCCAGGGCCGTGCATTTGGTTATGTGACTAAATCAGAATTTATTCAACCCCAAATCTTTCTAACACCAAAGCCCGTATTCTTCCCAATGAATTTCATGCTTTCTCCTCTTCTTCTTCTCCCTGCTTCATGATAAGGATGTTACAGAATTGGGACCAGGACTGGGAAAACTGTGAAGCTCACTTTAACTTCTCAGCTGAATTAAAATTAAGGGGAATGTACATGGTATAAAGGAACACTTTGAAGGGAAGGAGGAGATCTGATTTTCTCTTCTATTCCTAGAGGTTGAAATGACCATCAACAATTTACTCAGCCTCCTGAGCCTCATGTGTAAAATGGAGATGTTTACTCTCATGGTTGCTGTTAGCCAACAGACCAAGCAGCTTGCAGAACATAAGGCACAATGCAAGGACACTGTGTTGATGCTGTGGCTCTCTTCAGGTATCTATGCTCCCAAGCCTATCGTGCTGACCTTTTTCTCTCTGATGTCATACTTGATGTCATCCCACGCTTGTCTTACTCTTCTCATTTAAAAAAAGCAATTGCTCCTGAACCTCAATCCTCTTTAAGCAGGCTTTCTTTTTCCTTGTATGTCTTCCCGTGTTATTACCCAGGAAATAGTATTAAAGGAGCAATCCCTGTGACTGTGTCCTAAAGGTAGAGAGCTAGAGGGGCCCCCTCAATTTGCAGTAAACAAAGTGGCAGAACCTTTCAGACACACAACCTCTGACTCTGCTGTTTTACACAAAGAAGTGGCTGTTGGTAGACATTTCATTGCAGGTAAGGGGATGGGGCTATACAGATTGGCCAGGGAAGAAACCATTTCATCGTAGGCCTAGACCATTCATCACCCCCCAGATCACCTCAAACCAAGAGCTATCTACCTCATAAAGTCTCTGTTGGAGATGTTTTTCAAAATGTTTATTAGACTTCCTATAAATATTCAGTCATACAGTGCAATTGTTTATCTAAACACTCAGGCTTCTTAAGGTTCTTTACTCCAAGAGCAGAGAGAACCAGAGAGCTGATCCAAGACACTATCTGATGCCAGGTGGCCACTAGCCTGACTGACATTTCTTCCACATACCATACAGCCTTGCAACTTGGCCACACAGCTAGGAAAATTAATTGTCTGGCTTACACTCTCCATGTCTGATGGCTACAATGATGCTGTTTGGCTGAGAGATGCATATTTCTTTTTCTCATCTAGACACAGTGTCTAGGGAAGGAAATGAGTCCAAGGTAATGGAATTGGAAAACTTGGGCAAGGAGAGCCCCATCAAGAGGGAATGGAAAAGAAATAAACAGGAAGGAATGATGTGCCCTGTCAATGGACAGAGAGGGGAGATGGGCACTGAATGCCTCACCACACAAGAGAAAATCTACACAAGAAGGGGGCCAAGTATCGATCATTTTTAACTGAAAAAATCTTGAGTTCAAGTCCTATATAGAATTCTTCCAGAAAGTAAAGTTGCAGGATAGTCTAATGTATGATTCTTTAAAGACCTTTTTAAAAATACCTCCAACCAAGGTGCCTGGGTGGCTCAGTGGGTTAAAGGTTCAACTTCAGCACAGGTCATGATCTCACAGTTCGTGGGTTCAAGCCCCACATCAGGCTCTCTGCTGTCAGCACGGAGCCCACTTGGGATCCTCTGTCCCCCCTCACTCTGTCTCTCCCCCACTCATGCTCTCTCTGTCTCTCCAAAATAAATAAACATTTAAAAAAAATAAAAAGTAAATAAATATACCTCCAACCAAGGAACAGAGATAGGAAAATTTACTTTTCAGTGGATACTGTTTTGTCCTTTTGGACTAGGTACTGTATACTACCCATGTGTTAACTGCCTCAAATTTTTTAATTTAGAAAAAGAATATTAAATATGAAATTAAAAGAAATTAAATTTAATGTTCCTTCAAGAAAAACAATACAATCCATGTAGTTTCTCAAAGATACGCATTTCTCCAAATACTGTCAAGTTAAAACCATGCCACAGAACACACTCTTCTTTGGCTGTGCAGCAAAAGTTTGGAAATAGTATTTATTTGTTAGCAGATGGCAAAGGTGTGAAAGGTTTTGCTTCAATTAAATAACTCATCTACCTTTCTGTGATCTTTTTACAGAATTTTCTGAAGAAGTGGCTAAGTTACAGCCCTCTGTACCAAGTAGAAGAGTTTGATTCCTTAACCCACCTTTAACCAGTCTTGTGAATATGGGAAATTTACAATCCCAGCAAAATTTCTTGTTGAAAGGAAGGAAGGAAGGAAGGAAGGAAGGAAGGAAGGAAGG